ATATATATATATATATATTGTGTGTGTGTGTGTTTTTGGGGTTTGGGGACATTTTGCTAATTTTATGAATTGAGAGGTGAGGTTCTCTGTTTTAGGCTCTTGAGCGTGTTGTAGCCTCTTCCTATTACAAGTAGTGTGTTTGTAGCTTGCTCAGAAATAGGTGGAAGAACCCCCTTGCCTTTCGCACCTCGCCCTTTCACCACTCTCCTGTTGTTTTCCCGTCGAACAACCTTCCAAACTGTTGTCATATGTTTTTTTCGGCAGGAAGCCGCCACTTTATCGCTCAAGATGGTTGTTCACCCGCTCATACATCGCCAAATAGCTATTGGGTTGTTGCTTTCAGTTCGGACAATTGGCACACTAGGCCCCCCGCTGTCCTACATAAATTTCTCTTCTCACATCCTTCCCAATGTTGCTGACAACCCAAATTATCATTTCATTGGCATTCCATAATAAGCTGCCCACAAAAGCCGCATCCTAAATATCTTCTAGGAGCCCCTGGACGGTATCATTTGATATCAGAGCTTGAGCAACCTTAAATTTTAAAGGATTTGTCTTTCTCGACCAAAATCAAAAATTCCCCAAAAAAAAAAATACAAATCATTCCTATAGCAATTCCTAGCACCAACCCTAACATTTTCAAAATTCAACTTTTCTACCTCCACAAATATTTCACCCCAACACCTATTAAAACCAAAATCCCTAACCAACATTGATTTGCAATCCTACATCCACTGAAAATGTGAACAGGAGAAAAGTACGTCATGCCACAAGGTAGAAACCCTCAGCGAGGTGTCCAAAAACTTACCATAGAATTTATGTAGTGGAAAATCCTCTAACTGCAATAGACGCTTGTATCTTTTGAGAGGAAACAATCTAGTGAAGTCATTCATAACCACAATGGTGACTCGTCAGATCAAAAAGATTGAATCCCTTTCAACATACAGTCTCTGATGACGAAGTACCACTACCTCAACAATTCAGAATGGAATATCAAAGTAGCCAGGGTCTTAAGAGTAAAGATGAATTTATTGGATCTCGACCGTCACATGGATCTAGATGAGTTTATCGAGTAACTCCAAACAGTGAAATTAATTTTTGAATACAAAGGTATTCCTCGGGATAAGATGTTCGGACATTGAAAAAAAATTTGATCGATTCACAACCAAATCACACAACGAATAAAAAACACCAATTCGAGAGATCCAGAATAAAAAATTGAACAGAAGTGCACAATATGAGAAATCCAGAAAAACTGACAAGATTTAATGTGGAAAAACCCGAAGAAAAAAAAATCACGGAGCCACACCATACCAAAAATTTCACTATGAAATAAGAAATATACAAATTACATCACACTCAGAGTTCTCTCTACAAGCCTAGAACTCATGAACGCTCCTCTCTCTATCACAAAAAAGCAAACAATAGAAATCCAACACAGAAGTCACTGCACCGCTCACCATGTCCCACTCTTATTACACACATTGCTGAGAAATATTTCTTCTATATAAATCGATGAATTAAATTATGATCGGA